CCACGTCGACGGACTCTTCCTTTCACGATTTCTCTGCAGGATGCGGTGCTGTCTGATACCATTTTACTCACAGTGGAACTTGTTTCAAAATCGCAGTCAGTCCTCACACACCCTGCCGCTGCTGTATCAACTAAGTTTACATCATATTCTAAATCCTTTGGTGTCATTTCAACCACCTTCACAGCCTCTTCACCAGGAGCAGATTCCATCTCAGGAAACCACTTCCTCTGCTCATCCATAAGAAGCAGCTCCTCGTCCGTTAATGTTTTATTGTAAGGTGGCAGCAATTCAGTCCCACCTTCAGGCTCCACTTCTAGTTCTAGTTCTCTTGCTGTTTCCACCACATCTACAGTTCCTTCCTCTACTGAGGTCTTGAACCCCTTGAAGTCATCCATGAGGGTTGGAATCAACTTCTTCCAAACTCTGTTAATGTTGGTATTTTGACCATTTCCTATGAATCACAAATGTTCTTAATGGCATCCGGAACGGTAAATCCTTTCCAGAAGGTTTTCAACTGACTCTGCACTGATCCATCAGAGGAATCACCATCCGTGGCAGCTGTAGCCTTACAAAATGCACTCTTTAAATAATAAGACTTAAAAGTTGGAATTCCTCCTTGATCCATGGGCTGCAGAAAGGATATAGTGTTAGCAACATGGAAACAACATTAATCTCATTGTATATCTCCATCAGAGCTCTTGGGTGACCAGGTACATTGTCAATGAGCAGTAACATTTTGAAAGGAATCTTTCTGAGCAGTAGGTCTCAAGAGTAGGCTTAAAATATTCAGTAAACCATGTTATACACAAACATACTGTCATTCAGGCTTTGTTGTCCCATTTACAGAGCGCAGGCAGAGTACTTTAGCATAATTCTTAAGGGCCCTAGGATTTTCAGAATAGTAAATGAGCACTGGCTTCAACTTAATGTCACCTGCTGCATTAGCCCCTAATGAAAGAGGCAGTCTGACCTTTGAAGCCAGGTACTGACTTCTCATCTCTAGCTATGAGAGTCCTAGATAGCATCTTGTTCCAATAGAAGGCTGTTTCATCTACATTAAAAATCTGCTGTGTAGTGTAGCCGCCTTCACTGATTATCTTAGCTAGATCTTCTGGATAACTTGCTGCAGCTTCCATATCAGCACTTGCTGCTTGACCTTGTACTTTTATGTTAGGGTGATGGCTTCTCTCCTTCAACCTCATGAAGCAACAACCTCTGCCAGCTTCAAACTTTTCTTCCGTAGCTTCACCTCTCTCAGCCTTCATAGAATTAAAGAGAGGGAGTTGCTCTAGATTAGGCTTTGGCATAAGGGAACGTTGTGGCTGGTTTCATCTTCTATCCAGCTCACTAAAATTTTCTCCATATTACCAATAAGGCTGTTTTGCTTTCTTATTTGTGTGTTCACTGGAGTAGCACTTTTAATTTCCCTCAAGAACTTCTCCTTTGCATTTTACAACTTGGCTAACTGTTTGGTGCAAGAGGCCTAGCTTTTAGCCTATCTCAGCTTTTGACACAGCTTCCTAAGCTTAATCATGTCTAGCTTTTGAATTAAAGTGAGAGACGTGCAACTCTTCCTTTCACTTGAACACTCAAGAGGCCACTGTAGGGTTATGAACTAGCCTAATTTCAATATTGTTGTGCCTCGGGACAGGGAGGCTGGAGGAGAGGGAACGGCTGGTTGGTGGGGTGGTGAGAACACACACAACATTTATTAAGTTCTGCCGTCTTATGTGGTTGTGGTTTGTGACAACCCCAAACAATTACAATAGTAACAAAGATCACTAATCACAGATCACCATAACAAATATAATAATGGAAAAGTATGAAATACGTTGAGAACTACCCAAATGCGACACAGATATGAAGTGAGCGTGAAGTGAGCTAATGCTGTCGGAAAAACAGCACCAACAGACTTGCTCCACGGATGGTTGCCACAAACCTTCCATTTGTAAAAACTACAGTATCTACAAAAGTATGGGAAGTTTGTACACAGGTATGCGGAGCTCAGAAGTGAATAGCTAAGTTCACAAACAGTACCGGTCTTCAGATTCTGGAAAGCAGAGGTAACATTTTCTCCTCTCCCACATGCCAAAATATACACAACTTTCTAGCTCAGATCCCAACACCTCCCTCAAATGTCCCTTCCTGACCAGAGCTTGAGGTCCCAGAGGCAGCCTCGTGCCACAAGTCCCCATCGGGCAACCCCGAGAGGAAGGAGCCCCGGGCAAAGGGCTCTGGGGCCCCGCCCCACAGACTGCATGGCTAGTACAAAGGGAAAGGGCACCTTCACAACGGAGAGACCTGGTGGACGTCACCTTAGCCAAGTGACGGAACTCAGCGCCGGCAGCACAGAGCACGTCAACATCGTAGGTCTGATACGACCCACCGGAACACAGAACAGCACCTGTGCAGAATTCCTGCCTAAAACGTTTGACCTGAATCAGATCCTGTCCAGACTGTGGGGCAGCCTACATGATAACAATCCCAGATTCTTCAAAAACGTGCAAGTCATCAAGGATAACGGTGGAGGAACCGTTCTGGAAACTACAGAGACCAATGAGACACGACAAACTGAATGCAACACAAGACCTCTGTTTGGTGCCTGTGTTTAAAGAAAAGCCACAAAGGTCACCTGGAGACCACTGGGACCGCGTCTGAGACAGCATCCCTGGAACAGTGTACAGTGTCGGGGCTGTGCCAGCAGGACATGGTTGCACAGGAGGAGGTCCCCGTTGTACAAATGCACGTGCTGAGAGCACGAAGAGGCCAGTGGCACGATGCGTGCACACGGGTAAATGGTCAGTGCAGCAATGTCTGCACAACGATGGAGTGAGGCACAGGGCACTTACGCTAGTCTTCCCGCCTTTCTGCTAGTTTTAAACCTCTCAAAATAAAGAAAAGGGGGGCAGGGCTTCCCGGGTGGCGCAGTGGCTGAGAGTCCGCCTGCCGATGCAGGGGACGCGGGTTCGTGCCCCGGTCCGGGAGGATCCCACATGCCGCGGAGCGGCTGGGCCCGTGAGCCATGGCCGCTGAGCCTGCGCGTCCGGAGCCTGTGCTCCGCAACGGGAGAGGCCACAGCAGTGAGAGGCCCGCGTAACGCAAAAAAAAAAAAAAAAAAAAAGGGGGTGGGGGGCAGATTATGAGGCTCTCTCTCGCATCCCCTCGCCACTCTGGCTTCACTTTTAAGTAGACAGCGAAGACTCCACTCACCATCCACAGTTTTCCTGTAAAGGTCTCACGGAACAAGGACTCAAACCAGCGACCTGACAGGCCCCCGTCACTTCAATCGCGGCCACACCAACTTCCCTCAAATGCCCGGCACAGCCAGGCTGGCCTCATTCTGCCACAAGAAGTCCGGAGGAAAGCAGACTTCCCTCTCCGTCTCCTCAGCTGGCCAGGCCCCTTGGCCCTTCGGCAAGCCTGGGGAAAACACACGGCTCCCTCTCCCGGCCAGACCGCTCCTGATGTCACCAAACCGTCATTTAAAGGGCCTGCCAGGTCACCTTTAAACACGAACTAATTAAATCAGATACTCTCCAAGGGGATGCTGGAATCACTACCTTAAAAGCTCCACAGTCTACAGCCCAAGCGGGCACCACGATCTACCTATTAGTCTTCCTGAAGAGCACGTGCACGCACGTCATTAACCCCAGAGCATGGTGGAAGGTACTAACGGTTGGAGGGAGTGAGGCCCTTCCCTTCTCAGCTCAAGGACCAGGCCCTTTCTCTAAACTACCAGGGAAAATACCCACTACACACCAAATAAATTGGGTCCAAAATTTGGGACAAATTAGGTCAGAAATGCATATTCTGGCTAGGAAGTTCATTTTTTAAAACATACAAAATGCAGATCTTCACATCTAAACACGGTCTGAAAGGCCTCGAGATTTGTTTTGCTCTGTAATTATTCACTGGGAATCTCTCCGCTCGCTGGTTCCCAGGACTTAAGGGAACTCCTCAGGGACACAAACTGCTTTAGGGCAACGGGGGGGAAGGGGCTGCGCAACGGGGAAACGCCTGTCAGGAAAAGGGGTCCCCTTCCTGAGAGACCAACGGGGAAACGCCTGTCAGGAAAGGGGTCCCCTTCCTGAGAGACCAATGGGGATATTCTTGATTTGTTTTAAAATGAAAATGTCAATAGAAAAGTGACAGCTAAAAGATATTCAAAGAAGTCTGTTTTACTAGACTTAAAAAAGGTGGGAAATAGGAAGTAAAAGAGGGGAATGAGGTCAAAAGGCAGGACCCCAAGTGACTAGAATTTCCTACGGCCAGAGAAACAGGCGGTCGCACCAGCCCAGGACTCTCCCCATGTGCAGGCAGAACGCAGCGTCCAACAGCAGCTGCTCTACCTGAGTCGCTTCCCAAAGGCCACTGGGCCGTGACCAGTTTGCAACAGGAGAAAGAGCGTGTAGAGGAACAAGGGCACACGGCAGAGCGGCACGTGGGCTTCTCCAACACACAGCTGCCCGCCCTGCTCCAGGCCCTCCCACGGCCTTCCACAGTGCGGCCAGAGGACACGGTGGGGACCAAGAACGCAGCCCTGTGCGCCACCTCGGCACGTGGAAACAAATGTCCCCCCCGAGGCTCCCGCCAAGAGCCTACCCAGCTGACACCCCGTCCAGGGCCTGTGAGACCACGAGCACAGAGCCCAGCCGAGCTCACCGGACCGCCAGCCTCACTGCAGAGCTGAGAGGCAGGAAATGGCAGTGTTTCTGCCACTACATTTGGGGTCATTTGTTAGGCAGCTACAGAAAACCAACACACGACACCAGCTGTCTCACAAATAAGATGCAAGAACTGAGATCAATTTTCCCGCAAAGCAGCTATAAACCCACTGAAACCAAAACTTCTGTAAGAGATCTAGACTCTCAACGCAGTTCTCCCTTTGGCAGAAACTGAGGCACCTTTCTCATTCCAGTTGATAGGAGACTTAGTGCAACAATGGAAACAATAGTGAATGGAATGAAAGTACTCTTATCGATCTTAGAAAAATGTAAGTTTTTTTGTTTTTGTTTTAAACAAGTCAGGAGATGCATTTGCTACCCTGCAGTACTAAAGAAAGCACTTCCAGGATCAAGTCTCCCCTCTCGGCTTAGTGAAGTGGGCGGTGGGCTCCTAGCCTCGGAACCGGAACCGCACTGGCAGCCGGATATCACTCCCTGGGATACACAAGAGCTGCTCCAGATACTCTTCCAAATGACTCAGAGAGCAACCGACACACGACTCCACAGGATCCGAAGCTGCCTTCAGGCTCAATTCAGGTCACAAGGTGAAACTAACAGACCCGCTGGCATGCCTCGATGCTGCAGCTACTGCTCAGCTAAGCACGACCTCATTTTCAAGCACCATCTTTGGCACAGGCTGGGCATTAGCCAGGTAGCCTCCGTCTTAAATGAGCACCTTGCGTGAAGGAGCTCGAAGAGGGAGCTCTGACAAAACGAGCAGCTGTGGAAAGATGAAACAACTAGAATTTTACTAATAAATGCCCCTCGAAAGCGACAAGCTAACCATTATCAACACAATAAACTGAAGTAAAGATGTCGCGGTGCCTCATCTTCTGCCTCTCAGATGATCACACAGACCGATTCCAAGGTCTACAGATTATCCTTTTCAAAGTCGCATTTTACAGAAGAAGAAACTGAGTCCCAAAGGGGCTACGGGTCCTTATCTGCCCCGAACGTTTCCAGACATCTTCTGGGGATCTGCCCTCATACAAACCCAATTCATGGACATCCAAATTGAGGTCTGACCCAAGAGCGGAGACCAGCAGGGTGTCTACCTTCAAAGCCCTACAGAGCGTCCTGAACGCACCTGTCCTGTATGCTGGCGACTCCTCGGCAGCTGGCCACAGCTGAGACCATCCTTCCTGCAAAGGGACAGTCCATTCCCATGAAGCGCGTCTGAACGACACATCAGAACCCTGCAACATGAGCTGAAAGGGTGGAGGCACAATCGTTCACATGGATAAAGTGAACGTTAACGGATTAAACCTTACTGCTGTCCCGTCCATCTTGTTCATCCTTGCTCTCACGCATTCAACACAGATCTGACCTGAGGGCCTATGCATGCCAGCACTGGGACCCACGTGTATTCACAGTGCCCTCGAGGTTCCCAGGCCAGTGGGCTGGATGAGGAGGGAGAAGCTTCACTGAAGACTGCAACCCTGGCTTTGCAGGACGCGGACACGTGCCCAGCCCAACACCCAGCCTGTAGCCGAGCCCCTTCCTGGAGGCTCCGAAGAGTCAGACACAAAGTGAAGAGACATGATTCCAATTCCTCCAAGAGAGCCGTCCTCCCCTTTCACCCCACAGTTCTCCTGCCTCCCACCCTCCACCACCCAACAGTGGTCAACAGTCCTCGAAAGGACCCTTTGGAAAAGCAGCCCCAGGTCCGTGTGCTGCTTCCTGTCATTACTACTGACAGGCGGGAGGAATGGCGGCTGCCTTGGAAGCTGCACTGAACCTCAGTGCACGAGAGACGAGGAGGTGCCCTCGCGGCGGGGACGGACGCGGGCCGAGCTGCCGCGTCCCATCTCAGCCTCGCTCCTCCGTCTCCTGCAGCCCGGGGCAGGGACACAGCTCACTGGGCTCACCCAGCCTGCCTGGGACCAGCCTGGGGCTTTAGCCTCATGGATACGACAAGTGACAGGAGCTTAAAATATCCGAGCCACCTCCACTTTTCCCATTTCACCCTTAATTCCACCTTGCTCTGTTCCTGAACCTCTTCGGGAAGCTTCTTAAGGGGTGTCACTGTTCAGGAGGCCTCTGATGAGCGGGACGGCGGGCTGCTCCACCTTCACTAGCTGCGGACGTAGGCAGGCACCCTACACGCCAGCGCCTTGGTTTCCTAGTCACAGCGCGGGCAGAACGATCCAACCTGAGAGAGCTGCTTGAAGACTGAGCGAGCTGACCCGCGTCTACGGGGCAGGGCCCAGGATGCAGTGGGCGCTCGGGGGCCGCCACTCATTCTCGCCACCTCTCGGGCTCCTCTAAGAGCACCGCCACCAGGGGAGGCCCAGCGCAAACTGAAACTGCAGAGCTCGTCAGAGGGGGACAGCAGAGCATTAAACCCAGCACGGGGCTCCGCGTGACGACTCGGTGGCATGCCCACAAGGCCAGCCCTGCCACCAACCAAGCTCCCCTGAGAACCCCCGCTAGGAGTCAGGCTAAGAGGACTGCCCTGCGATCCTCAGTTCACCTAGTCCAGCCCGGGCACAGCGTGCCCGGCAGAACGCAAACGCTGGTTCGCACCCTCTGGGCTGTGACCCGAGACCTCCTCACCACCTCAAGTCTCCATCTCCTCGGCTGCAAAATGGGGAAAGCACCACCTCCTCCGCAGGACATCCGGGAGGATTAGACGATACAGCACATATGAAACGCCTAGGCACCTACTTTGTACCTGACAAATGCTAACCCCATTTAATTCCAAGCTGACTGCCCACCCCCAGCCTCTCCAGTGACCTAGACTCGCGCGGTCCAACGTGGGGCCGCCTGCCTTGTGAGCTGCTGAGCACTTCCAGTGTAGCTGATTCAGAGTGAGAGGTGCTGCGAGTGTGAGAAACACACACCAGATTTTAAAGACTTAATGTGAAAAGACAAAGTAACGTCAATAATATTTTAATGTTAACTACACGTTGAAATAAGAACGTTATAGGTACACTGGGTTACAGACAATGTATTATTAAAAATAACTTCATGTTTCTTTTCACTTTTTTTAATGTAGTTTCCAGGAAGTTTTAAAAAAACAAATGTGGCTCACATTATATTTCTATTGGATGGTGCTGATCTAGACAATGAGACACCCGAAGACCTGAAGGGAAGTCTAGTTCTCCACAGTGGAAAGCAGCCTGGATGCAGAAGGGACTAACCACTCGCCCACAGGACAGCTGGCCAGGCTCTACAATGGAACACAGAGGGTGAACGCAGACACTGTCTGCCAGGAAAAATTAAATAGAATCATAGTATCAGAGTAGAATTTGACATTCTCTGCTTATAAGTACCTACAAGATATTCAGAGAATAGTTATTCATCTCCTAAATGACTTTTTAATTACTTACTGTCTCTCAACTTCTTTAAACGGCAAGTTCTGGCAAAAACATGAATAAACTGACTTCAAGAATTGAGTCGGTCAATAAATACTACATCATTACCTACCACTTCCAGCTCACCACGGAGTCAGGAGCACAGGTGACCAGCTAAGATGACAGACTGCTGTGTGACCTCAAACACACCTTCAGTACAAAGTTGTAGCAAACAACTTTACCTGAATCTAGGTCGAAGGTAACACCTGGGTGGGGCATCTCATTTCCAGGGAAAGGACTATATACCTTTGTCTTTGTTTCAATTAATCCTGAAGCCTACATCAACAAGTTTCAAGTTTTCACATGAGCAGCGCTTAGTTATTCCAATAGTATTTTTAAATATTCTTTTGGAGAAAATCTCAATCATAACCTTGTTAAAAATCTAGAAAAGAATTGAGCACGAGGACAAAGAAGTTTAACAAAAGAATCTGTCTGTCGGAAATACACAAAGAAGACGAACGTTTTAGAAAGATGAGTTCTTTCCCTAACTCATCAGCCCATCAGCCTAGCTGATTACAACACTGGAGAGCCCGCCTAATACCTTTCCCTTCTCTCCCGACTTCAAAGACAGAAAATGAAAACTTCATCACTCACACAGAGGGAAATCAGCACCTCTGCACACAGTCTCAAGCCGTGCTTCCAGCCAGAGTTCCCCCTTTATAGAGCGACCCCGGAACAGCCAGAGGTTACTTGTCAGAAAGCTGGAAGGAGCTCTGCCAACGTCTACAGTTTTCAACTTTGATTTCCTAGTCTAGCAGCTTTCCTTTCACATCCTCCTTTGCGAGTCCAATGGAGGAAACCTTGACTGTGTCATATCTGCGGGCACTGCAGACGATACAAGAAAGAAAAGCCAAAATGTTTACCCCAAGGGGCTTCCATTTTCCCGAGGGCAAGAGAAGCAACTGATACAGGCAGTCACAGGACTGACTGCAAAGGCGTGCTCTCACACACTGCTACGGGCAAGGCAGAAGGATAAAAATGTCTCTGGAGACAATTGGGCAATAGTGCTTTAAATGTTTAAAAGCCCTACCTTTGACCTATGCACTGCCCTACCAGGGAATTTCTCCTTCAGAGATAATCAAAGATGCAGGATTCTGTACAGAAATGGCCATCACACAGATCACTGTCTACCACAATGAAAACTTAGAAACAACCTCTAAATCCAAAAGTGGGGATTAGCACCACGAACTACGGAGAAGCCATTAAAGATAACTAGACAGATATTGAACACAAGAAAACAGCCACTACGTTAAGTTAAAGCACATTATAAAACATTTATACTATGATGTCATGGATATTTTAAAAGCATATTTACGTATGTGCAAAGCGGGGGAAAGACTGAAAAATATACACTAATTTTCATATTGGTTATCTCTAGATGGCATCATTATATAATTATTTTCTTCTTACGTTTCTCCATTTCCTGAAGTCTGTATAACTGAATATGGATTATGGGGTAAAGTTTTTCAAAAATACATACCAACGTCGTTCCAACTACAAGGAAACGATAACAGTAACAGCCACTGTCTATTTAGCACCGAAAACACGTGAGGCACTGTTCTAAGTGCTATATTCACTTAATCCTACAACAGATACAAAGGGCCTGCATCGTGGTGATGCCCCTTATCCAGGTGGTAGAGCTGGCAAGAGGCAGAGTGGGACAGAAACCCAGCGGGCTTCAGGCCAATGTGCTTACCGGCCCTGTGAAGCAGAAAGCTGATATTCATGGGCAACCACCAGGAGGTGAGCAAGGCCCTGCAAGTACACAGGACGCTTTTACTGAAGGCCCAAATCGCGGTGGGAGAGCACGCCCAGCTGACTGTTCAGCGCCCGCCCCAGCACGACCTGCTCGCAGCTGCTCAGCACCATGTGCACAATTCCCGGGAAGTGAGACAAACTGGGTTTTCGGTGAAAAGTTACTCTGAGAAGTGGCCAACTGCCACTGATGGTGATACAGGTGGAGAGGCCTAAGAAAGTAATGACTCAGCGAACAGATATAACGTTGTTAAAAACAGGTAAAAAATAAGACGGCATCCGAGCCAGCAAAGACTCACACCTGTGATGTGAACAAGTCCACCATTCACCCTGCAAAACAAACACCAAAGCGCCACCAAAACAGTCTCATAGAGCGAAAGTCAGAGCGTTTCCTCCTCGACAGTCTCACGGTCAAGGGAACAGTTTTCTTTCACAGTTTTAAGCACTGATAAACGACTACGGCATTATTTCCCTTACACAGATCTGCCTGTTCCGACTTAGCTGTGGTCATTACAGACGCACATTAGTTTGCAACTGCTGACGATTGACCTAACCACGCAGATTAGTATAAAGTGAGTAATGCTGCATCCCAAACCGACACCACCTGCTTCTCCAGGAAGGGTCCAAGCAGCAGGGCTGCCTGCAGCAGTGGAAAAGCCCCTCACTCAGGGCCAAACACCAGCTCCGTGCCCCAGCTCCGCACCCCCAGTCCCCTCAGCGGGTTGCACAGCCCCGGCTGGCCTTTCTGCTTACTGCCAGCATGGAGACTCTCACATCCACCCCCACTCCCCAGGACCTGCTGAACCTCTGGAGATGGGTCCACACATCAGTACTGCTTAAAAAGCCCAACAGCAGCCCCGTGGCTAACGTTCACGCAGTTAATAGTGAGAACTGACGAGTTAGGCTGCGTCTCCTTCCTGTAAAACAAGGACTGTAATAACTCAAAAGACGAAGGAGCAAACTAAGACAACACGTGGAAGTCCTTTAGAAAGTGTTACAAATAACCAAAAACAGCGTGCTATTGAGAACTGAAATCAGAGGCCAGATGGAAACTCTGCAAAACTACACAAAGACAGGACTTGGTCAGCGTGAGCAACCTTCTCTCTCACACACAACGTTGCCTGCACGTCCAGGACAAGTTCTGTCCTTGCTACACGTGCTAGGCAAACGAGGGTTTCCAAACACAATATTCCCAAGCTGGAGACAATCACGGTGCCTGGCTCCTTGTATCAGTAAACGTAACTTTCTAGAAAAGTTCCAACTTTATTTATCAAGACATAATAGTTCTAAACAGGGTCATCTTACATCCTTATTATACCATTAGGAACATGAGAAAAAACCTAAATTCTTATCAAATTCCATACTATTAAGGAAACAAAAAAGTCAAACAAGATGCTTGCTAGGAAGCAAACATTATACGAAAGATGAAAAGATCATCCAAGATATATGTGCTGTTTTCCTAAACACAGTTTTCCAATTTTTAAGTTTTTTTAAATTTTCCAAATTTAAAAATGTTTTCCAACTTAAAACTTAAATTGCTTCTCAAAGTTTAACAATAAATGCAAATCGTACAATACTCCTTTAAAATTAAAACTCCTTTCATAATCAGAACTCATTAGGGGAATAATACTTGATTTTCCACAGCGAGTTAAGGTGTGTATGTGTTAAAATAACTGATAAAGTAACTGATAAAGTAATTATGACGTTCAGTTCCTCTCTTCCTTTAAGAAATCTGAAGACAGTTTTTTTTTAAATAAATTTATTTATTTATTTCCGGCTGCATTGGGTCTTTGTTGCTGTGCGCGGGCTTTATCTAGTTGCGGCAAGTGGGGGTTACTCTTCCAGTGCATGGGTTTCTCATTGCTGTGGCTTCTCTTGTTGCGGAGCACAGACTCTAGAGCACAGGCTCAGTAGTTGTGGCGCACAGGCTTAGCTGCTCCGTGGCATGTGGGGTCTTCCCGGACCAGGGCTTGAACCCGTGTCCCCTGCCCCTTAAGACAGTTTATAATGGTGGTAGACAAGAAAATACATATACCAAAGACAGGCAGTCTGTTACAAACACAATGCAGTCTAAACTAACCCCTGGAAAAACCTACCTTGACACTTATATAGAACAAAAGCTAATCTAGAATTCAAGCTATCAATCTTGAGTTTCATGTTTGTAATTTCAAAAGCCTTCCTGTCAGTCTCGTCTTCCAGCATTTTGTGAAAATGAAGTGTGTAGAGCTACAAAGTGTTTCAAAAGAGCCAAGTCCTTCCCTCCTCACTCCCTTTCCATGTATTTTTCTTTAAAAACACTGGGAAGCCGCCCGCCACACTGCATTCCATGTGTGAGGCTGTCTTTCAGTGAACAAGCCTGTCCTTTCACATCACAGATTACAACAAGTCTGGAAGTCCAAGTTGAGTCCATACCGTACAGAGCTCCTTTTTCAGAGTGACTAACAAATGTATGAGCCGTCTGATGTGCTTTTTTAAATTGTTACCTCTTCTGTAATTGAAAGTTTTAAAGTTTAACTTATAACTGAGCTTGAAAGAATGTTAACTAAACTTGCCTCTATTGTAAATTTACTGGAAGAGATATTTAAATACCACAAAATAAGTCATACTTGACTTCTTTATATAAAAGGAAACCTTTCCTACCAACTACAACTGCCAGGTCATCAGGCAATCACAAGTATTAACTGAAGGCCTACTATACGCCAAGCACTGCTCTAGATACTTAGGATGTGTTAGTGAACAAAGTCTCTTCTAGAACATCTTTAAATAAACTCAATTTAACAAAAATAGTAGCTATATAAAATTTCAACAGCAACCTTTGGAAAACTAAGGATGAGGTGTTTTGGTTTTTTTTACGTTCAACATTCTTTAAAACAATACCTTCTTGCAAAGTGAGTTTCAAATTTAGTCTAATGAGAAACTAAACTCAATAGTTTGAAGGGGATGATAAAATTCCTCAACAAAGGTCAAAAAAAGCAAAAACTGCTACAAGCATTTATTATCACAGCCTAACAGGGAAACTCAATGATAAAACGACAAAGCCCATCCAGCAGAGGAAAAGACCTTTCTGAAACAATGTCTCTCCCACGCCTAAACAGCCACCATCTCCACTTTGGACTCTCCTCTGAGCATTTTCACTTATCTGTACGTGATTTCCTCACAGACATCAAATGCTACCAACTTAGTGTTTCCAATCATATTCATAAAGACAGTAATTTACTCTTATCAAACTTCAACCAAGAGATAAGCGTTCCATATAGCCTTCCTCACAGATTTGATGACTTCTACATTTATTTCCCAAGAAACCTAAGAGACGGTTCTTTTAGGATGCAATGGTTCTGTTGCAGATGCTTTCATATACTGTTACCTAGAAGCCTGGTATAATTTATCTCAGTACTCAGATAAGGAAACAAAGGCAGAGAGTGGTAAAGCCGCAGGTAGAAAAGGCAAGATTTAAACACCCAACTGACTATAACCACATTAGTCTGTAATTTCCAAATAAAAAAGCAGCTACATTTCTGATCTAAAGCCTTATCCCAGGATTAAGAAAAACCACACGTGGTAACATAAGATGAAAAAGAAATTTCCAGGGCTTCCCTGGTGGCGCAGTGGTTGAGAGTCCACCTGCCGATGCAGGGGACACGGGTTCGTGCCCCGGTCCGGGAAGATCCCACAGGCCGCGGAGCGGCTGGGCCCGTGAGCCATGGCCGCTGAGCCTGCGCGTCCGGAGCCCGCGACGGGAGAGGCCACGACAGTGAGAGGCCCGCGCGTATTGCAAAAAAAAATAAAATAAAATAAATTTCCAGAGAGCTGCTACTGAAAGACTGTATTTAGCACAGTGACAAAATTCTAAGCAACATGGAAATGACACCCACGCCCCAAGACATAGATTAACATGTCCCTAACCTAAACATCAATTGTCAGAGTAAGAACCATCTAAAAGAAGTGACACTTGGAGGACTGGGGGCCCATTTTCTTTCTCCCGGCTCCGCCTGATCACCTGCTTAGGGTTCTGACGGCTGACCCAGACCTGGATGCGCGTCCCCCGAGAATCCCTAGGGCAGAGTTAAAGCTAAGGCAAGTACCAAGGAGTCAGAAAGCGCCCCTGCCCAACAAACGGCTGTCGAAAACGTGTTGTCACCTGCACCACGAGCTACTGTAACCACCTGTCCCCATCGCAGCGGGCAAAATGTGGGGCTCCTCCCTGCCCTGAGCCCGCAGTCGCCCCTGGGGAACCCGCGAGCCGAGCCCCGGGCGCCGCCGCTGCGGGCCGTTACCACGCCCGCCCGCCTCGCGCCCCAGCGCCCCGCCGGCCCCGCCACTCACCTCCAGGCGCAGGGACGCCCCGCAGCCTCGCAGGAACTCGCGGATGTTGCTCAGGCACTCGCCCTCGCTCCGGGGCTCCGGGTAGATCTGCAACACAGAGAACAGGCGCTGAGCGCCGCGGGCAGGCCGCGAATGCGCCCCGAGGGGAACGCGACGCGGCCCCGGCGGGCGTGCCGGCCGCGCGAGCGACCAGGGCGGGCTGCCCCGGCGGCCCGGAGCTAGCCCGGCCGCCCCCGGCGCCCGCCCGCTCGGCAGCCGCCTCTCCTCACCCTTTTTCCTTCCTCCGGGATGCACCAATCTCAGCCCCTTCCCTCACCAGGAAGTGGAGCGGCGCCGGAAGTGACGTCTTCAGACCGCGCCCCGGCAGGCCCCGCCCGCAACCTCTTCCGGTCCCCCGCCGTGAGGGCGCGGCCTCTTCTCTCGGCAGCTGGCGCTGGCCTTCCGACGCGGCCTTCCTGGCCCGGTCCACGCGCGGACTTCTCCTCCCCGCACATGGAGCTCGCCCTCGGATGCGGCCCACCTGGCCCGGCTCACGCGCGGATTCCCCATCCCCGCACCCGGCGCTCGCCCTCCGACGCGGCCTAGCGGGCGCAGCCCGCCCCGCCCAGAGGGACCCGGGAAAGCTTGGCCTCCTCCGCTTGAAGCAACCACGAAGGGACTGTTGAGAACCTGTTGTTTTCTCAGTTTTTCCCTGCCCCCGGCTCGGGGAGAGTGGAGCTGGAATTCTAATACGATGACTTAAGACAATTAGCGACGTAAATTATGCCGGCTGGGATTATAGTGCAGTGTTTTCTTTTACTACATGTAGACCGTGTGCTTCATCAATGATTAGCCAAAATAGCTGGTCACTCGTCAGCGAAAAGTCAGCTGGGGAGAGATTGTGGCGAATGCAGCCTCCGTCACAGGTGAAGAGCAGCGAGGGCTCCTGCAGACTGTCTGGTGCTTGTTACGAGGCAGAGCTGTAAAGGCCACAGCCACACGTGTAACCAGTCACTGACAGCTTCCCAGGGCAAGAAACAAAGAAAACCAGGAACGGCACCGGTTACACAGAACCATCAAGGGAGAAGCCTGAGATCTCAGAAGAGCTTTTTGTTGTTGTTCTGAACAGCATGTGAAGACTTTTTACACTAAAGTATCGTACAGAATTCTAGCATTTGGGGACATTCAAGACATTTTGTCCTTCTGTCCTCTAGGGGGAAATCACGACATTCCATTAGGCCTCTCTCAGGAATACTGCAGTTTCATTTCAAAGTGGTCAGGTCTTCTAAAACTACAAAAGAAAACCAGGGTGTTGAGCAGTGCCAAGAAGGAGGAAATGACACTTTTTTTTCTCTACAGTTTAAAAATTCTTAGGAGTGCCAGCATATTTCCCTCCAAATACTTAACAGATTTGTTTTTTTCGGTGGAACTTGAGAGAGAGCGGAACAGCAAAACCAAAGCTGCCTTCTAGTCCATTTTACTCCTCCCTCACACTGTTTTTGCATACAAATACAATCAATCCTCATTCATGGATTCTATATTTGCAAATTTGCCTACTCGATAATATTTATGTGTAACCCCAAAATCTGTATTTGCGGCACTTTCTCATTTATAGACGTGTGCAAAGCAGCAAAATATTTGAATTGCCTTATGCACACGTTTCCAGCTGAATTTGAACAAGGCCGTGCTCTGCCATCTTCTTGTAGCTCATAATGTAAGCAAATGTCCTTTTCACTCCACTGGTTCCACATTTTTCACTTTTTTTTTTTTTGCTTTTTCTTGGTGATTTCACTGTTTTAAATGGCCCCCAAACGTAGTGCTAAAGCACTGTCTGGCATTCCTAAGCGCAAGAAGGTTGTAATGTGCCTTACAGAGAAAATACGTGTGTTAGATAAGCTTCGCTCAGGCCTGAGTTATAGTGCTGTTGGCCGAGAATTCAATGTTAATGAGTCAACAATACGGTACATCCAGAAAAAGGAAGAGGATATTCGCAGATCTGTACGTGAAGCCGCTCCGGAAAGTGCTAAAGTAACCTCTGTAGTGCGTGATGGAGCTATGGAAAAGATGGAAAAGCAACTAAATTTGTGGATTCATGAGATGACAAACAATAAAAAGAGTGTAGTGGACAGCGTTGTTGTGAGGCTGAAAGCCAAAGAAATTTACGGTCATGTTACCCAGGGTCAAGAAAATGTTAAACCCTTCTCAGCTAGTGCAAGCTGGCTTGCACGATTCAAAAGGCGATACCACATGAAAAATGTTAAACTTGCAGGCAAGGTAGGTTCTACAGATCAGGAGGCTGCAGAAGAATTTAAAAAATACCTGCTAAGCATTATACATGAAAAGGGTTATATGGAAGAGCAGGTTTTCAACGCTGATGAAACTGGCTTATTTTACAAGAATGTTGGCAAACGAACCTATGTAATGCAAATGGCCTCCAAAACTCCTGGCTTTAAATCATTCAAAGACTGTGCAACCTTGCTATTATGTGCAAACGCCAAGGGTGACTTTAAGTGCAAACCCCTCATGGTACACAGAGCACAAAACCCACAATCACTTAGAGGGAAAAACTTGAACTGTATGCCAGTCCACTGGAGATGGAACAAAAAAGCATGGATGGCGTCCAAAATATTCTGGGATTGGTTCCACAACTGCTTCATCCCAGAAGCTGAACGTTATCTCCATGGCAAAAACCTTGCTTTCAGGGTTTTATTAATTTTGGATAATGCCCCAGTTCATTGCTGTGAAGAACTCGAAAATGCCCACCCCAACATAGAAGTTCTCTTCATGCCCCCAAACACAGCATCTCTTATCCAACCCCTCAATCAGGGCGTGATAAAAGCTTTCAAGGCACACTACACCAGGGAGCTTTATAGCAAGGCTTTTGAGGCTCTCAACGCCAATGAGGAGACCACCATGATGGACTACTGGAAGTCAGTTACCATACGCAATGTTATTGATTATATCAGCACAGCCTGGGACAGCATCAAGCAGGCTACTATCAACAATTGTTGGGGAAATGTTTGGCCAGACTGTGTGAAAATTTTTGAAGGTTTTGAAGGTGTTACAGAAAATATAACGAGCAGTGTCAAAAACATAATGCATATTGCACAACAGATAAGTGGAGAAGGTTTCAGTGACATGAAGGAAGGCGATGTGGAGGAAATTTTGGCAGAAGTGGCAGTAGAACCCACCAACAAAGACCTGGACGAGATGGCAAAACAAGGCAATTGAGTTAGTGATGATGAGGATGGTGATAGTCAGCCTGAGACTCCAAGAATCGTCCCTCTCACAGCAGCCAAAATAGCAGAATGGAATTCTGCCTTGGAAAAAATTTTCAATGACATGGAAAAGTGTGACCCTGTGCCCGAACGCAGTCTCACGTTTAAGCGCCTCACCTCCACCGCGTTCATCCCTTATGCCGAAACGCTTAAAGATTTGAGGCAAAAAGCCAAGCGGGTGAGGCTGAAGCAGTTTTTCAAGCCAGATTGGGAGGGCAAGTTGCTGACACCGTCACCAAACTGGGAAAGCCAGACTCCTGAGGCAGAGCTGCCAGATTTCACAGGCCACCCTCCCTGACATCTTCCTTCCTGACTCTCCCTCCGTTCCCGTACAGCAAGCCGAGGTCACCAGGTTTAACCCCACCGTGCACTGCCCCATCACGTATCCCATGGCTCCATCAACAGTAAGGTGGTTTCCATAAATTTTAAATGTTTGATCTTTGGTTAATGCTTTTTTTTGGGGGGGGGCTTTCTTTCTTGCATTATGCTGTAGTATCCAATATACAGTGTGTATTTGTGTGTGTATGTGAGTGGTGAACATGTGTACTGTGTATGTGACTGAATGGAAGAGGTAAATTAGAACAGTCACACTATGGTAGACTACATTACATAATGCTGTAATTGAGATGGTGCTTTATTATAAAGATATACTGCATGTAATTATTTGTAAATATATATATATGTTAAATAAGCTATCTTTAAACAGAAATACACCTAAAAACAAGATTATGTATTGATTGGTTGACCAGATGTTGTGACCAGAGGTTCAAAGGAAACTAACCCTGTATTTCTCCATGAACAGTGGTTCAGTAGTTGCTAATTCAGTGGTCATGGTGCCCTTGTAGAATGTAACTACCACAAATAATGAAATCAACTCTACGTTTAAAAGTATTGATCCATAAGGATCTAATTGTTATGATTTCTCTTCTGAATTGAGTCAATACAGCTATTGTGAGTTCACAAATGATGGAAACATATGTTACAGTTCTTGATAAAAATTATTAAATATAAAATGCAAATTTTATTTGGAAATATATATCTTCATGAGATGTATAGGGTTTTTTTTTAATTAGTTCATTAACCCATGGATAATCATCACTTACTGCTGGAAAGAGATACGGACCAGCACCAATTCTATTCCTATCTTGGGGTTTTTTTTAATGCAAAAACTGAGAAACCTTTTTCATAAAAATAAGCACATGGAAATGGAAATGAGTTTTGTTAGGATGCCTCTTTGAAGCCTTCTGAGTTACATAGCCAAAGTCCAGATATAATCTGTCATAAATAAAAACTTAAAATCATCAGCCAACAGCTTGATTGGGGTCTCCTTCAATTTCTGTGAAAGCTAAGAAGTACAACCCTGAGCTGCAACATGCAGTCATCAGAGTCACTCCCCTCCCAGCACCGGCACCCTTTGTGACAGCTGGGAGGCCTTCCACCTGGCAGCGTGCACCTCGGGAAGACAACAAAGGGTGAAGTGGGAGAAGGCCATTGTGAACGGGGAGGTGGGACAGTCAGACCAGTGTGATGCTCTCCTTGCTCAGAGACGGCTGCTCTGGCTCCTTGGTTTTAGTTGAGCATGGATGCAAGCTGAGGACCTAGAAATGGAAATGGATTCCCTTAAAACTATCCTGAACTTTATCTAAAGCAACATACCTGTTTGGAGGACTGTAATGTAAAAGAGTCAAAACTTTATAGTAAGTAGTTCCTAACCGTAACACACGTACTGACCGCAAACAAGCCACTTGACCCCTCTATGTCTACCCCTCTATCTCCAGTTTAAGGCTGACACGTTCAGCATTTGTCAACAGGGCTGTTGGGAGGATCAGA